ATTTACATGTTTTGTTCAGCAAGGTAATCTTGCAAATAAACATTACTTTTGTGATTTGCGATATGTGATTTCCAGAAGTAAAACGTTAACGTTAGGCTATAAATAAACTACAGCAAAGTCTCATGCCTTCAATGTCACCACCACTAACCTTCCAACTTGTAAGTAAATCTTGTAATAAAATCTACAAGTTGGGAAGTTTGAGTTGCAAGCTTCTAAATTTACCGATGTATTTTATGTTTTAGAACAAAACGTAAAAATCTCTTAAGCTTGTGTTAACCACAGACCTTATTTCAGGCATCTAACCAGAAACCCATTGACTTTAAGGCGAGGGAACTGGAAGTACTGAAATGCTAAGTTCCAGGTTTTAGGACTCGTTCTTGCAGCTCTTAGTGTTCTTCTCAGATCAGGATGATTATTTACTGCGTCCCCCTTTGACATGAACCAAATTGTTAGATGTTATATGTAACTTAACTACCTACTGTAAAGCTACCTTTTCATTGGTCTATTGTGTTGGTCCCAAACAGTGAAGGGTTACAGCAGCAGGCAAAAGGCTGCTGGTTAAAATGCTTTTTTCATCTGACGGAGAAAAACTGTATATATTACTTTTGCTTCTGAAGAAGCAGTCCTTCATCCTGTACCATATCTACTCCTGATATGAATTATTCACAGTATACAGGATGCAGTGTACAAAATATGTATAATTAATCCACAAATGCTCTGTATTTCTGATCTATATATTCAAGTTAAATAAGGTTTTTAACAACATTTTTATCTTGCTCTCAGGGTTCAACCTGTGACATAAGAGTGAAGAACGGCAGTGTATTTGAAGGCATATTCAAGACTCTCAGTTCTCGGGTAAGAAGCTGCACTTCCCACTGCCTGTTTAATGAAACACTGCAAGTAATCCTGTCACTGTAATGGTAAATTTGTGTCAAGGAAAAATATCGCCCTTAAAGTGGTTTAATTTGTACTCTGCAAGTTCACACAATCCTTAAATTCCTGCTGCCTTCCCAATGTTTGGTGCTTAGTGTGAGTTGGCTGTGGACGCCGTACACAAACGCAGTGAGGAGGAGGGCTCAACATCAGCTCTGCCACGGAGGGAGGAAATCACAGACACAATGATCTTCAGCCCCTCAGACCTGGTGACTATGATCTGCAGAGATGTTGACCTCAACTATGCTACCAGAGGTACAAACACACACATGCTGGGGTCCAGGGTAGCGGGGAAAGGAAGTAAGACATACGTCTTCACAGACCTGCAATGCATTAGTAGCAAAGACCTATCGTTCCTCCTGAAACAGAGAAGATGGCTTTGTGTGGTGTAGGCATTAGATTGTAAGTGTTGTAAATGATGATAAAGTGCACAATGAGTAAAGTATCTGAGTTGATTGTGTGTTAGACTTTACTGGTTTGAATTGTCTTTTGATCTCATGAGGAACAGGGGGAGAGACAGCTGATTTGAAGGCAAGGCTCCCATTTTCTGCAACATGGTTAAAAGAACTTTTTTTTTGTCTTTGGTTTTAGACACCTTCACAGACACCGCTATCAGCTCCACCCGCGTCAATGGAGAACACAAGGAGAAGGTTTTGCAGAGATGGGAGGGAGGAGACAGCAATGGAGAGAGTTACGATCTGGAAAATGATGCAGTGAGTCGCTCTGTGTTTTTAACACATACAGAAACACCAACCAAACATCTAATGATATAAATTTCCTTTGGCCTCAGAAATGGTGTTAGATATATGCACCTCAGTTATACATACATCTTATTTAGTTCATTATTCACACCTCAGTCTTTTGAAGCAAGTTGACTATTAAGAAATCAACCTTTGTTCTACTAATTAGGCATTATTGTGATATACTGATTATTATTCCACACAATTAACCTGTTTGTTCTTGTTTGTTTCAGTCCAATGGCTGGGATGCTAATGAGATGTTCCGTTACAATGAAGTGAAATATGGAGTTACGTCAACATATGATTCCAGCCTTTCCATGTATACGTAAGTTTCCATATGGATTCGTTGGCTTCAGGAATGATTGATTAGTTATTATTAAGCTGAGCCAGAACTAGACAACAGTTAATGACCTGAAATTCTGCTATAATTTACACCATGTAATTTTATGAATTTTCACTTGCTTATGAAAAAAGTATCCTCTTCATTTGTGGAGATTTTTGGCCAAGGAAGAGATCAGGGGAAAAAATAGAAGCTGGTTCTTCTTTCGGCTTCTTTCAATCGTAGGCGGTCAGAGCAGTAAGACTCATATGTGTCCTTTATACGTATTATATGTTATTGTAAAAAATGTTTTAGTAGGCTGTCTGGCCTAATTACAAATCTAAGGTGAGAATCCGTTCACAGTATTACGGTCTGGGATTAGTTGAATATATAGTCCATCGGCAGTTGTTTTTTTTTTGTTTTGTTCTTTTGGCTTATTTTTTGGGGGGAATTTTTGTGATTTTAATTTGCTAATTTAATGGTCTGCCCCTGAAGAACGACAGCTGCTCAGTGACAGACGTTCAGTGGCGAGTGAGGGGAAAACGGCTTTAGAACCAGTGTATTTTCACATCCAACTGCGGTGAATTAAGGGTTTATTTCAACTAGTTTGACGACAGGGAATACAGTTACAGGGTGATTTGCAGAGGCTCCAAACAAGCCTCTAACTCCAGTGAAGATGGGTACCGGTTTCTGTCCCCTCCTTACATTTTGTGTCCATGTCCCCTTTTTCCCCTGCTGTGCAGTGTGCCCCTGGAGAAAGGCAACTCTGAGGTCTTCCGGCAGAGGGAGGCACGTGCCGCCCGTCTGGCCAGTGAGATTGAGTCCAGCCCCCAGTATCGGCATCGTGTCGGCCTGGAAAATGATGAAGGCAAAAGTGAGGAGGACAAGTACAGCGCTGTGGTCAGGGATGGCGGCGATCGCGAGAGGGGCCGTGAGAGCCCCCGTGACAGAGAGCGCGAAAGGGGCCGAGACAGCCCTGGAGCCAGTAACAGGTGAGAGTGAGAACTGCTTGCTGAACAAATAGATGGTAGTGTGTGTCTTACTATAGCTAAATACTGCTTTCGATTGTATCACACCTCTGCCCAATTGTCTGGAAATTATAGATGTTTAACACTTTTCTGAAGACTTCTCACTAATTTTGGCTTTAAAGTTGACGTTTAAAATTCTTTCTTGACTTTGGAAACAGCAGTTGGCAAAACAATCAAATTCTCAGGTCCATTTAGTGGCTTTTGTAGCTAGTGGTGTCGGAGCTTTAAATCCTATCACTCAATCAGTTTAAACGGGAAAACTCCATCTGCTGAGGAAGATTGTGTGATCTGATCAAAAGCTCACAAACGGCTACTAAATGAACTTAGAGATGAGATTGTTTTGCCAGCTGCTGTTTCCAAGGTCAAGAATGAACTCGCTAGTTTTCATCCATGTTTCTATGCACTATAGTTTTGATTGTGTAGTATTTAGTGTATCACCTCTGTGTGACGATGATGTGATGTATTGTTTCTCTTTCAGGGAGGGCAAGTACATTCCATTACCTCAACGGCAGAGAGAGATGAACCGGGAGCGGGAGCGAGCTGAGAGAGGTCCTGGCGGGCCTCCACCCCACAACCGTCTAAGCGGAGGTTATCGCTCTACTGCTCCATCCTCCTCTTCTCCCAGACCCCCACTGCCCTCTGCTGCTGGGCCTCAGCCCGGTGTCTCCCCGTCAGACAGAAACAGCCCTCTCTCAGGCCGAGGCGGGGCCTATGCTCCCCACCACCCCCAGGGAAGCCCAAGCCCAGGCCCGGGCTCTGGCCCTGCGAGCCCGTACACTCCTGCCTCTCCAGGAGGACCAGCAGGCACGCCAGGCTCTGCTTCTGCTGCCCCATCCCCAGCCAGCCCCCCTGCCTCACACGGACACACAGTCCCTCATTCCCACTCACTCCCACACTCGCTTTCTGAAGCTGGCAGGCCTGTTAATGGAGGTAAGTGTGTGAACTTGTGTCAGAAAGTGTTTTAACAGCATCTGTGGATGTTGCTAAGTCGGTATGAATTGTGAAAATCTGTACTGGAGAATTTTTTTTGTGCCTTTTAGTCTCTGCCAGAACATCTCCCAAAGCCCAAAGACCTCCACAGTCAAGCAGAACAGTCCGTGCTGCGAACTCACACTCTCAGTCCACAGGTACATTCAGTCAACCGCTATTACAAACTCCTCTTCTACATTAACGATGGATTTTGTCCTAAAACTTTATTTTTTTCCCGTCATGTCCTTGCAGCTACTCGCTCTCCTAAATCAGGCTCTTCCCAGGACCCGCCTTATTTGGACACATCGTCCGTCTCCCTGCCTGCCCAGAAGACGTCTGGCCCCGCCCCCCTCTTCCCCGTTGATGGTACTGTCTCATTTCTCCCCTCCAGTTTTTGTTACATCGTGAAGAGTTTGAAATCAAATTCAAAACGTTTTAATGATGTGAGCTTTACCTGCCACAATGAGACAGTCACCTCTTAGCAGTAAGTGACAGGTATTGAAGGTGGGATCTAATGAACCACTACAACTAATTTGCTGTTTGTCTCCTCTTTACAGTGAATGAGATCCTTGGCGCAGCTGCGAAAGAGCGCTCAGCTGAGAGCCCCAGCAGCACAGAGGAAAACAAGAGTAGCAAAGGTGTGTGCGCAAGACTTCAGATTGTTACCAACTAAACACTAAAGTCTTAATTTGGACACATTTATCAGAGGACATACAATCCACTTGTTCCTAGTTGCATGCCCTGTGTGTGTTTTTGACAGCAGTTTGCAGTTTTTAGATTTTCACATTTTCATTAACCTTTGTTTCCTCTCTCCCCCACCAGCTCCCTCAGTTCAGCAAAGGTCGCAGATTGAGGAGCTGCGGAAATTCGGCAAGGAATTCAGGGTAAGAGTTCAGTTGCCTTTCCGCGAAGCGTGAAATGAGAAAATCTGTGACCAATCAAGAGGCTGTGACTTGAGAAATCACTGATGTTAGATGACTTCCTAGAAAATCACTCATGGCTTTTTCACTTGGTTGTGACCATTAACCTTTTTCGTATGACATTGAATACTAGTTTACTGGGTGCTATGACGATCGGTCAGGACAGTATGCTACAGTACAGTAAGATGTACTCACTTTTAAATGCTTCTTGGTGTAAAAACATTAGGGACTCATTTCTAAAATGCAGTTATTTGATTTCTGTGTGTGACTTTTTACTGTAGTGCCAATATTTTGGTGGAAGAGGTAAAGTTCAAACATTTTGCTCATGTTTTGACATTTTGACTCCTAAGATTCTGTAAGACGAAATACGCTGCCAAACCTATTAATTAAAACTTAAGTTATTAAGTTAGTTGAGATGGTTTTCTGCTCGTAAAGGACATTTACCTAGTGGCTTTCGGCTGCTCAGTAAAAGCGATCTCATTAAGACTTCAGTGGAAAATGTCTGACATTTATGTTTGCTAATTCTTCATTCCTTCCTCTTATTTGCCACCACCTCCACCCCTCTTCCTCTCTCCCATCCAATCAATCCTTATCTTCCTTTCTCTTTCAGCTCCAGGCCAGTGGAGGCAGCTCAAGCTCTCCCAGCTCTCCAGCAGCAGCAACCCCTCCTGCTGTCAGTGAGAGCGCCCAATCCAGCGCAGCCAAACCCTCAACATCAGATGCTCACCCTGCTTCAGAGGCCAAACCTCAGCCTCCAGCTCCCACTCCTGCCCAGCCCCAACTTCAGTCTTCACCAGCCCCTGCTGAGGACCCCACCAAGGACACCACGGCTACACCTGGTGCTGCAACAGCTGCCGCCACAGTGCCCGACAGGCATTCACCAGCTGTCCCGCAGCCAGCCAGGACCCCGGGAAGTGAGGAGTCAACGGAGCGGCCAGAGGGCGTGCCAGAGTGAGTTTCAAATTGGACAAGAGATCTCTCATTATTTATTATTTCTCTGAAGTATTCCATTTTGCTTACTTCTGTTATCATGTTTGTCATTTGTAAATACATTTTCTCATTATATATTTTTTACTGTCTTCTAGCCAAGTAAAGAAATCAACCTTAAACCCCAACGCTAAAGAGTTCAACCCTATCAAACCTCAAATGCCTATGGTAAGCCAATTTATTCCTGCTATGTCTTTGAGATGCACTTATTGATATTTTATATTTGCACTTACTTTGTACTGAAACTACTGTATCTTATATTTGAAAAAATATCATATTGGCTAAAGCTAGTGTAGTGTATACAGAGAGCAATGTGTTGTGTAGATCAGGAAGTGTCATAAAGTAAAGTCCAAATATATTGCATCATATATTTTATAGTCAAAGACGTGTTGACACTGCATTAATGTCATTATGTCACTGACTGTAATGTATGTAGGAAATTGTCCTACATTGATAAATAAATCGAACCCCCTGTGGTTAAATTAGTGTAATTTAGATTTATTTCCCTCTGATTGTGTTATCGTACAGGCGAAGCCCAACACTGCGCCCACCCCACCCAGGCCAACTCCGCCAAGCCCAGTGGTCCTTCAGCACCCAGGCGGACAGGGACCACTCTACAACACCCCCTACCTCTCCTATGTATCACAGATCCACTCTGTGCAGGTAAATGATCCAGACACTTTATATAAGCAGCTGTGTTTCTTATCAAAGACCTTTGTACAAACTGTTTGGAACTTCCTATTAGTACAGGATTTCTGGGCTAAATTTATATTTAGTATAAAAAGGCCCTTCATAGTTCACCAGAGATCTATAGTTATGTATTCAAATGTCTAGTTTTGTTTGATAAACTGTCCACAAATACTCCTTTTACTATCAGAAAATACAAAAATATCAGTAAATATTCACAGTTGAATATTTGTATTTTGGCACTTTGCTGTTTAAAAAAAAAAAAAAAGACTGAAATGAATAATCGTTTAAAAAAACTTTAATCAAATTGATTTTCTTTTAATCTACACATCAAGTTTCAAACTGAGTCCTCACGATGCAGCATGTCATGCATTGACCTCTTCATCATTTCTGTCTTTCAGCCCCCACAAATGTACCAGTACACCATGTCTACAGTCAGCCAGGGAAAATACCCCAGGACCAAAGGTAAATGCAGCTTTTCTTTCCATTGCTGTATGTCTGGTTTTAATTCATCTCCACTTAAATTTATTTCTAAAATCAATATCCTGCCAACTCGTCAAAGGCATGAAATCCACTTCACAGTACATTGTGCTGATGATTTCAGTTGAACATTTAAATTCTGCTTTTATCAACATTCCTCTCATTGTACTTGTATCTGTGTTTTTGCCTCCACCAGGCTCAGTGGTGGCTCAGCGCTCTGACCATGGTACTTCAGCACCCCCCATGATGCAAGCTGCAGCGTCAGCAGCCGGGGCCCCATTGGTAGCGTCCCCCTACCCTCAGTCCTACCTTCAGTACAACCCACAGCAGTATGGGCAGCAGCAGGTCATCCAGGCCATGACACCGTACCCTGGACAGGTAGGACGTCTGCCATCTAGCCCCTTTTTATGATTCAGCTTTGAAATGGTTCAGAGACTGTTTGCAGTGCGTTAAAACAAACGTATGTGCTGAGGGGATTATCTGAGCTGATTATTATTCAACAGAGGTTAATAACAGCCACTTAAAGCTCCCTGGTTGATCTTGCCTGCACATTTCAAACAACGGATTAAAAATGGCTTCTTCTCTTCAGCCGATGTACTCCATGCTGCAAGGTGGAGCCAGGATGATAGGTCAAGGCGGGGGTCCCCACCCGCAAGCCCTGGGACCTCCCGCAGGCCCCCAGTTCCCTTCACAGGGAGACGGACCTCAGGGACCACAGCAGGGCATCTACGGTGAGTGATCTGAAACACAAAGTATCCATATGCAGTCCAACTATAAAAAACTCATACTCCCTCCTAACTCATCAGTTTTTTGACACAAGGTCTTCAGATGGCCTGATGGAAGACTCTGAAATGCAGACTACAGAGCATGTGGCGATTGAGCCCCAAAACACTGACAATAAAACGACATAAAGCATCATCTTGACACTGATTTTCTCTTTTTCTGTGTAGCTGCACAGTCCTTCTCCCACCATTCAGGTGCAGTTCATCAGCCGCAGCCCTCCAGTACTCCGACAGGCAACCAGCCACCTCCCCAGCACGCTGCTCCTAGCCCTGGACAGGTGAGTGTCTAGATGAACTACATTATAACGGGAAGACAAGCCTGGTCGATTTAAAGCCTCCACCACAATGATACTAGACCAGACAGCGTATCTCTGCCATTCAAATCAAGAGTGCTGAAACACACCACTACTTTCTCTCATTTGGGCAGAAGGTGCTTCTGAAGGGGACTCACTCCTGAGACGCAGTTATTGATGCTTAATTTATTATCTCTTTTGATGTTGTGATCTCTCCTTTCAGAACACCCAGTCAGGCCCACAGCCCCAATCCTTGTACCACTCAGGTCCCCTGTCAGCACCCACCCCACCCAACATGCCGCCGGGCCACACGTCTCCACAGGGCTCTTACCCCATTCAGGGCTACATCCACGGCCACCAGGGAATCCCACAATCATATCCCCTGGGACAGATAGCACAGGTATGGATCCACTGGTGCATGGTTACGGTTCCTTCTCATGGATCACTGCCAATTGTCAGATAAAATACACATTTACCATGAAAATGTAATAATTTTAAGTGTTAATTTCAGTTCATTTGTAAAGCTTTATATTCATCTAAATCTGCTCTGGCCCCACAGGCCCACGTACAGGGAGCCATGTCAGGTCCCCACCACTCTGGAGGCCACGGTCAGCCCCAGTTAGTGATGTTGCAGCCACCTCCTCAGCAGGGCCCCGGCTCAGTGCCCCAGCACCCCCAGCACGGACCTCAGCAAGGAGCACACCAACACTTTTACATAGGCCATCCACAAGGTATGAGACATAATGCCAAGTAAAATCCCTCCTTTGACCGGTCCAGTAACGGCGATTCAGATTCTCTCTGTGCTTTGAAGTGTAGCATTTATAGATTTTGTTTTTTGTTTACCTCCCACAGCAATGCAGGTACAAACACACCCTGCTTCCTTCCATCCACCTGGAAACTAAACCCCATCTGCCCCCTCCCCCCTTACCTCCCAAACTGTTCCCAGGAATGAGCCCCAACATCCCCACTGCCTGCTGGATGTGAGGCCCAGACCGAGCGCGACTTAGAAAAAAACAAACTGTCAGGATCGTGCAGAGGAGAGAAGAGGACATAAAGTCTCACAGCACCTTATGCTTCCTGCTGTATTATTCTTCATCAGTAACAAACCTCGGTGTCAGCCCCAGACGAGGAGGACCTTTTTAATGCTAACGATGAAGGTTGCAGACGACAGCAGCAGCGTCCGACCCCCGCTGCCATCCTGCTCTTCTCTCCAACTTCTTCCCCTTGCAGAGACATGAGGCACCTTGCTGGGCAGACCAGTCGGAGAGGAAAAGACACGGATGAAAAACAGCAGCAGACACTTTATCTTCCAGCAATGTGTTTTTAGCCTTGTGGGGTTTTGTAAGTAACATGACACAAATGGGGAAAAACAGACTGTCGCGGGATTCTCATGAATACAGCATGAA